TCTTAGGGTTAAGGCGAAGCTGGAACTTCTTCATGATCTTGAACACTCTCTCCAGGTCGCCGGCGTGGGACTCAACCCGTTTGGACTTGACGATCATGTCGTCCACATACGCTTCCATGCATCCCCCTAATACTGGTGCGAACAGCTTGTTCACCATTCGCGCATAAGTAGCCCCAGCATTCTTCAAACCAAAGGGCATTACCTTGTAACAGTACACCCCATTGGGGGTAATGAAAACGGTCTTCTCTTCATCCGCCACGGCCATCTTAATCTGATGGTATCCACTGAATGCGTCCATAAAACTCATCAGCTCACACCCTGCCGTCTCATCAACCAACTGATCAATGTTGGGGAGAGGAAAAGGATCCATTGGGCAGGCTTTATTTAGATCGGTGTAGTCAACGCACATCCGCCAGCTATTCCCTTTGGGTGCGAGGACTACATTTGCCAGCCATTCCGGGTAACGGACTTCCCGGATTTGCCCAATGGACTGCAGGGTGGTCACCTGCTTGGTAACAAACTCTCTCCGTTCTGAGGAAAGAAAACGCTTCTTCTGCTTGACCGGCTTGTGGGTCGGATCCACTGCCAATCTATGATAGATGATCTTTGGGTCGACCCCTGGCATATCCTCTGGCCCCCAAGCAAATAGCACCTTGAATGCTCGGAGAACCTCCAGTAGCTGCTCCTTTAATTCAAGCGGCAAGGCCTTGCCTACCTTCACCTTCCGCTCTGGCTCGATCGGGTCCAGAGAAACTTCCTCGACCTCTTCCGCTGGCTCAGCTCGCGGTCGCCCCTCCTCCTTCTAGATTTCAGCGCAGATCGTGCTTACATTCTCGTCGACCCGGGCTTGGCTCTTGGTCGCCCTGACGTAGCACGACCGTGACAGGCTTTGGTTTCCCTTGGCCACCCCCACTCCCGTGGGAGTGTTGAACTTTAGGCATAGGTGGGCGGGGGAGATTACGCACTCCAGATCCTCCAGCCCTGGTCGTCCCAGAATCAAATGGTGTGC